AAAAGCGGACAGTTCAAACTTGTTTGCAAGCTACTCAGATATAAATGCTAGCAGAAGGCTTTGGGTGGGTATATCTGGGGATGGGAGCTGAAGATGAACGAATCCCACACTTACAATGTGCTCTTGGCCCCATGTAGACTCAGTGGTACAGCTGCAAGCAGCATCTCCAGGCATGTCTGGGCTTGAGATACAGAAGAGTGAGTACATTTTACCCTGAGGAGACAGTCTGCTGAGTACATCTCTACACAACAGAAGTCATTCAAATATTAGTTATTTCAAAGAGTTACCATACAGCTCAGAGTGACACCACATGTATTACTAGAGGAAGGGACAGTTTTGCACTTGAGGAACTGAATGACAACGCTCGGGTCCTGCTGCCTTCAATTCAATGACTAGGCAGTCTCAGCACAGCCATGAACTGCTATGTATGTCAGAACGTAGGGAAGAGGGCCAGACACCCAGAGCCAAAGAGGAGGACATGGGATATTTGCCTGGCGACATTTCCAAAGAGAACGCATTAATGAATGAAACAAACCAAATCAGAGAGGAAGAATTAAACTTGCTGTCAGCTAAACATTTTCAGTGCAAAGAAGGTTAGGTTTGTTTTTTTTCTTAAGACATGAAGTTTCCCTACAATACTCAATTAGTTTGCGGTCATCCACAGAATGGGGGTAGGGGGAAAGCAATGGATCTGATATAGGGAGGGTGAACTCATCCGAGAGCAGAGATATTACAGACAAGCTTCACCCAGGGCACAACATGTTTCTTTTCCCTTTGTAGATCCAGTAGCAGCCTCAGGCTGATGATGCCCGACTTAAATACAAACAGTAGCACCTGTTTACTGGGTGGGGGAGGCTGAATCAGCAGTTTCATCACAGAAGGCCTTCTGGGACAGCTACAGCAGCTATGGCCGGACAGCCCTGGCAGTGCGACAGCAGCAGGTGCCAGACAGATGGGAAGGCAGTGTGACTGGACTGCCAGAGCTGATTTCCATTTGAAATGTTTTTAAATTATCTATCCCAATGTCTCTTCCCTGAGGCTGTACTCAAGCTCAGCTTGCAGGGATGCTAACAGAGCACAGACAAATCAGGAGCCTCATACCTCAGAACCAACCCAAATTTTTCCGTTCCACTTGCTAACAGGACAGGCAACACACCCTTCACCTCAGCACAGCCTGAGGCCAATCCTATCAGGAGCAGGATTTCTACTACCCTCTACAAGTCATGAGGAACTGCTGCAGGAAAACACCATGAAGATTTAAGCACACATTTTCACAGAGCTAAAGATCACTCTTCCTTTTGTATAAGCCATCAGTTTGTTAGAAGTGCAAGTACCTAGAGTTGCAATGCAAACTCAACTACAGGTGTAAAAATACAACGCAAACTGTACAAGCAGCTGTGCTGTCCCAATCCCCAGTACCAGTTCTGGAAAGCAGAGCTGGAAAAATGACAAAAGATGGGGCAGCGCCTTGCTTCCAAACAGTTTCCAGAACAATAATGCAGTGAGGACAGACTCCAGTGAAGGAGTACCACTAGGTTTGCCTTAGTGCATCTGCTTCTCTTAGCCCTAATCACTCGCATCTGAAAACAGGCACCAAACACTTACAAAATGAATTTGCAGCAGCTCCTGCCCCTACCTCTCCTAGAGATGACCAAACAAGTCAGAGACCAAAGGTTCCAAACTCAGCGCTCCGGCTACAATTTGAAGCATAAGTGTCAGGAAACTACCCACAAAAATATCAGGATACAAGCCAAAGCATCCAGTCCTGGCTCCTGCAGCAAGTGCTCCCAACCTTCCTGCCCTCTAGAAACATCCATCTCATCCTCCAGCCAAAACCCTCCCCAAAAATCAGGGAATCTCTCCTCCACTCATTCTAGAAGCCTCTCATTTTATCTATAGTCAGGAAGCCTGAGCCTGGACATCTTTCAGAAGCGCTGCTTAGGCATTTGGCCAGCAATGGTAGGTTGGGATACTGTTCAGGGGTACTCCGTTTTATGTTGACAGTACTTGCTTTTTAAATGGGAAAAAAATCTCCTGTTTTTATAAGTTACTTTGTTTTCTTATTATAAACCACTCTGAGCCTTTGTTGGGAAGGGTGGTATATAAACCAAATCAATCTATCACAAGCCCTAGAGGCAGGTCTAAATTTTATCCCCTGACCTCAAGGCAGATAAATAAAGGGACACGACCTTCGGTAGCACAGTGTATGCACAATAAGCTAGGCAGACCAGATGCAATCACAATGACTTCTCTGTACTAAGCATGTCCGCCCTCCCCCGATCCTCAGTTACACAAATTCCCCTACCCTTCCTGGAAGGACCAGTGCATACTGAAAAAAAATCTCGGTCCCCAAAGCTACAAGCCTTCCTCAGCATTTTCTTTAATCAGGATTTTCTTTAATGTGACACTTCCAGGCAAGAGCTCTTTTACACTTGGGAAATGGTGCTATCAAAACAGAAGAACAGGAGCAAGAGTCAGCAAAAGCTGGAAGAACCTCTTATTTCCCAATGACAAACACTCAGAAGAAATGCTGGAGCTTTTCAGAAGATTTTAATCACAAGTATGCCTATCTGCCTCTGCCCAGGTTAGCAGATTACTTGGAAGTGCATTCTACTGTGCATCTGCAAGACTACTTTGCAGCTGTGCTTCCATTACACATTTTTGCCTATGGTCCATAGGATTATTCCTTTGCATTGTGCTACTGTGTAAACAAGTAGTGCACAAGTGCATGTGATAGGGAGACCTAGCCTTCAATGCAGATACTTAAGACATGAATCCAAATCTTGTATTTAGGCTCCTTCCACAGTTGCTGACATGTACTTCACATGTACCCGTACCCTAACCCTAAGGGTTGACATGATCCTAAATATGAAAGCAAGACCCACAATACTTCAGAAGAATCTTTCCTGAAATCACATTTGAGGTATTTCATTAGGGCTTAATGTTACAGCACTAGGCTGAAAGAGCAACCAGAAAGGACATTCAGTTACACTTGTCCCCTCTTAGTCCAAGAACAGCTGATGCCAGGATGACCCAAAGTTCTGTTCCATTAACCAGGAGGTTTTCATGAACTTCCTAAAAGTGCTTCTTCTGACCCTGTCTCTAGGAAGGAAAAATGGTTCTTAAATGCTTCATGGGCTCACTTGTTCCTTTTGCTCTCTAAGGGCGCCCTCTTCCCAGCCTCTGCTGGGGAGAACTACTAATAGGATGGATATGATTTAATATGATCATCATCTGCAAGAGGGTGAACAGTATGTTACTGACAGGCTTAACAGATACTAAATGGGAAGTAGTGGCTCACACCCATTAGGGCAGATAAATAACCCAGAATACTTAAAGAAATTAAGGCGCATAGGCAGAAATATAAGGCACACAGAAAAATAAGAAGTGTGACTCTGCCTATCAAGCTAATACTTAATAGGAAAAAGTAACCCAATATCAATCCCATCAAGGATCTGGACATACCTGGGAAACTGATGCCTGCGTGACAGGATAGTTAATTAGATAAGGGCTCACAATGCAGCACAGGTAACAAAAAGCCAGTAATTGTACAAACTATAGATGGAGAAGGGAAATAATCTGTCTTTATATAACTTTGGGGAAAGAAAGATGAACTCAAGATCCAGGGCTGGATCTTGAGTTCTGACAGAGACTCCCCATCCCCATACAGCTTTAGGATGAACCCATTTGAAACAATGTAGTCAAGTCTGATATGTCAGTACCAGAATGATGTCCACAAACTGCAGGAAATTTAGAGAATAAAAATGAGCAATCAGAGACAGAGGAGATTAAAACAACTAAAACACATGTCACTTGGCTAACAGGGGATGGGGACAGGGGCAGCAAGATGCAACAATGGCATACAAAAGTGGTTAACCATAAAGCATTTCAACTGAAAATGATAAAAAGTGATGGGAGGAGTGACAGAGATGAGGGTGAACCGAAGAGGAACAGGATGAAGCCAAGAAAGGGAAATTTACAAGGAAACATCAACCTAATGGCAAGATCTGTTACACCATGGAATAATCTCTTAATGCAGGTGGGGAAGTGTCATTGCTTGGGATACTGAAAAAACAGACTTACTAAAGCCCTGGAACATTCCCTCAAGTGACCAATCACACAGACAGAAGCTATGATCAAACAAGACTCCTTCCCATCTTTAGTGTTTATGAAGGAAATAAGAATTTTCCAGAGCCTCCCAGCAGACTGGTGTAACTTTGGTCAATCCCTCATTACTCCTCCCATGCTAAGGTCTGTGCTAGGTACCAAGACTAGGGAGAGGAATAAAGCGATTATCAAGAGCAGAGGGTCTGAAACAGAGGCAGCTAACATGTTCTCATATCACAGAGTTTTTCCCCCCCACAACTGCTGCAAACCAGTCTTGCCGCTCCACTGTGCCTCAGCAGCAAAGAGGTCCCTAGGTATTTAACAGAACTTAGCTGGTCTCGGTAAGAAATCCTCCGTAATTCCTTCTCATATTGTAAAAAGGAACAACAGCAGCAGACTAGGGACCAGTTTAGGCTTATCCCATGCACAAAGAAATCCAAGACAGAAATAGCAAAGATGGGTTGTCTCTCTGCTACATGACTCCACCGTGCTTACGATAACTGGACTTGGGGAGCTCATGGGCTACACTACCGCAATACAAATGACAAATATAATAATTCAAGCCCAGCCAGGATGAGCCCCAGCGGCTTCTCTCTACTCCTCCTTTCTGTTCACATGCTCTCTCCTGACATCTCTTGCACTTCGATCCTTGCCGTTGTCCACAAAACATAGCACCACACATGTTCCCAAGTTCTTCTGTGACCAAGCAAGCCACTGTTCTTCTCCAAGCAGCCTGAGGCAGCATTTTCTGAAAATGCCCCAAGGCAGACAGGAATAAGATGTGACAACCCTGATACCACCACAGGGGGAAGGGGGGAGAAGAGCAAGAGTGAGAACTAAACCACACCAGCAATTGCTTCACTTACAGAAATAAAAATTCGCAGCTCACCTACCTGGTCCTGCAACAAAGCTTTACTTTCCCCCTCCTGCCTGTCCCCTTTCTTCCTTCAGTTCAAACAGCTGAAGTTTAGCTCAGTTGGTTAGAACATGGTGTTATTCACAGAACGTTGCAGGTTCAATCCCTTCTAGCCTTACTTGTCTATGAAAATAAGTTTAGTCTGTGCTAGCCAGAGTGCCTTGAAGATCTCACAGCAACACAAGGAGCTAGCAAAAAAAGTGAATGCCTTCAGGTCAGCAAGATCCCAGAGTGGGCTGTGTTCTCCCACTCCCTCCCTCCCTGCCGGATGCCCTTGGTCCTGTAATCGAGGGAAAGAGAAAGGAGAAAAGGTTACTCCAGTTCATTCACATTGCACACAGTGCTCCGTTTGGCCTCTTTTCCTGTATGACAGCAAGCAAGTGATGATGAGAAAGATGGGGTCAGGACAGCAATCAACCACATTCACTGGCTTGGGATTTCTGGTGGTGTTGGTTGCATAAGCTCCACTAAACACTGGCAAAAGCCACCTAACTTTACTACATCCTACTCTTTTTTAATGCAAATGTTATACTGTACCCATCACCTGGGGTCCCAAGTGTCAGAGAAATCTACAACTGACACAACCTCAAGAAGAACAGGAACTGAGGCACTATGGGGTCTAGAGAGGGAGAGGCTATAGTAGTGGATCTTCTCACACACCTGATGCAATGGCAGTCAGCCCTCCTAAACGTCTAACTAAAACAGGCGCCTAAAGGGAACAGCTGCACAACTAGGGTCTCCACCAGCCCCTACAGCACCTGCAAGGGAGAACAGCAGCAAATCTTGCTATTCTGTAGCTGAACTAAAGTAACCCCAAAAGCTTGGCTCAGACTCCAGTTCTGCGTCAGACTGACTCCCTATCAGCACCGACCTTCGGACAGCAGGAAACGCAATCGGGGCTTTGACTCTGACAGGGGCTTCGAACAGGAAAAAGTCCCATCCGTGCTCCTCCCAGAAGGAGGAACAGAGTGAACACAGCAATAGGCCCTGCTGTCCAACAAGGAAGCAAAGGGCAAGTCTGATCCGCTCTTGGGAGGAGTGCGTGGCAAGGGATGCAAAGTCTGGGGCCTTTGCTAGAAATACCACTTACAACCACTCTTCAAATACAATAATTCAATGCTGACAACTAGGCTCCTCTGCCAGTGTAACTGCATCTATTCTAGAGGTTTGTCAGCACCAGTCTTTTGGTTAGGAGTGCAGTTTTTTTCCCTTCACCATTTTAAAATCAGCAAAGCAATATGAGAGAGAGAGAAAAAAAACTTAAGTACGGACCAGGCATGAGATACCTTCAGGTAGACTAGGAAGAAATCCTATGGCGAAACCACCTTGCAACCAAAACCCTGGTCCGGAGAATAAAAGCTGAGTGACTACGCTTTTGGTTTGCAATGAAAACCTAAGTGCAGCAATGGTACATGATGGCCAACATAAAAGCTTTAAAAACAAGAGAGAGAGAGATCCAGCCCTGGTCTGGTTTTCTTCTAATGCCACTGGATGTCAGTGGAGACAGTGAATTTGAAAAGTATGTGGCTTTGCTGGATCTCTTCTCTAGCTCCACTCAAGCAATGGTACCCACCTCTGAAATTTAAGGCATAAAACAGAGTTAGTTATTCAATGCTGTAAAACCATGATAACAAGCTAGTCTTTACACCATCTCTTCCCAGAGAATGCAACTCAAAGGAGACAGTTATGGGATGCCCAGATTTCAGAATGGTGGAATGGGGAGATACACAGGGGCAGGTATTTGGAGACAAACACATAGATCTTAAAGCGGGACTTGCAAAAATGAAAAGTGAAGCAAAATTCTCCATTCATTGTCAAGTGATGCAAAGGCACTACCATCTTAGAACAGGGAGCTGACCTAACACAGGATCCTACACTTTCCTTTCCCAATCCTCAATGATCCCCAAGGCCTTGAACCCCCACTATAGGTAGTCACAAACCCTCTCCAGGTGGACCTGGGAAGATGCTACCTCAATACTAGAAAACTGTCTATAAGCTGAAAAGAGACCAGGGAAATGTAAAGGCAAGGCTGAATGCCAAGAATCATTTTATGACATTGAGGTACAAGGGAAGAGGGACAAAACCATGCCTCCACTAATTTGATAAACCCCAGAAATTGACATTTCAGGGCTCAATCCTGCCCTGCTTCCTGTGGAAAATTAAGATGATAACAACAAACTCATTAGTACTTTTTCATCTGCAAAGTTCTTTAAAAACAAGTAATTTAATCCCCTTTACACCCATAAAGGAGAGTACAACTCATGATCTATGCCAATCAAATGCCTTCTGCAGCCTATCATTATACAAGGAAAGGAAGGGAAGGGAGAAAAAAAGAAAACAATCAAAAGATAACAGCATCTGCTGGGCTGTCCCAGACTATTTCCTTGGTGTCACCCTTTTACTGTTACCATGACAAGGACAAATGTCAATACTTACTAAATAAAAGAATAATAAAAACAGTAATAACATTATCCTTATTTTACAAGCAGGGAGGATAGACGATTTGCCCAAGGCTGTCAAATGAGTCACACCAGTCACAGCCAACTCAGAAGTGCCTGGCTCTTCCTTCCATGCTCAGACCTTCCTTTCTCTCATACTCATCTTCCCCATCTCTGATTTCTACAAAACAGAATTCTGGTGCCCCAAGGGCAAGAGGAAGAGTTGAGAATAGAGAAGTGGAATAAAGGATGCATCAGCAATGCTTACACTGCAGGAATTTGCTCAGTCCTCTGTTAATTCATCCTCCCTCTCTTCCTTGCACAACTTGGTCTATTAGCCTGTTGCATATTGTTATAACAGATTATATTCTCTTTGGGGCAGGGTCTTTTCACAGTACATTTGTATGATTCCTACTCCAAAGTGATCCCAATAAATAGATGCCTATACATGCTACTGTAATACAAAGGGACCAAACAAGAAATGAGATTTGGTACTGCATTGAGAAATGGGCAGGAAGACCCTGATTCCTGAATTCCAGTGAGAAAATGTTTTAATTATATTAACAGAAGTATCACACCTACTTGCAGAAGAATGGCAGGAAGGCAAGGCAGTACCACAGAAACATGGCCTGTTTAAAGCAGATGACACTGAGACTGGTTCTTAAGTCACTTCAAAGGAAGCCGGCTCAGCTATTGTACATCTTGGTATAATCCCTGGATGTCCACTACAGAAAAACAATTGAGCAGTATTTGCTGCCTTCCCATTTATGATAATGGAATAGTACAGCAAAGAATGGAATGCAAAAGAACAGCTACTATGGGGAATACACAGCATTATAATGAATAGGTATTGCCAGAACTGTAAGGGAACATGGGGAAAGGGGCTGAAAGCTACAGGACAGAAACAAGGGCATTAGGAGCTGTGGTTAAGGGAAGTTTGCTCTGTATTTGATTATGCTCTTCCTGCCTCTAGTCAGCTTGACTAGCCCTCTTCTGCCAGGTGGTTCAAATTCCATTAAATACTGCAGACACACATGGAACGGGAGGAGGAAATTGCAGATTTACAGTGAATGTTCAGATGGAAAACAAAATGAAATATCTGTGCATGAGAGAGAGAAAGGATCTGCATGTCAGGGAAAGAGCGTGTGAGAGGGCATGCAACAGTCTGTGCAACACAGTGTGTGTGCAGGTCTAATTCCCTCCAAGGCTTTGGTCCAAATGTGGAGCTGAACTTTTGCAGACTTTGTCCTGCCAAGTCATGTTCCCTTCTCCCAGTGTCTGACATCACCACAAACGCTCAGCTGGAAAACAGGCTGGAGTCAGACAGAGTCGGCTGGTTCTAGGCCAGCCAGTGAAATGGCTGCAGTCAGGGCACACCCTCCAGATGGGAAACAAGAGCCTCCCATTTCCTACAGGATAGCTCCAAATACTCAGGAGACCCAGGTGCCTCCAGAGGCCCCAACCCTAGCACAACTCAATTCAACAAGGGCCCCAACAAAGCATACAAATCCTAAGATGCAAGCAGATGAGCACCAGTAAAATCCAGAAAGGACAAGAGAGGCATGCACAGGCTTCAGGGCTCTCAAAAGAACTAATAAATCAGTGAAACACCAATTAACACTGAGGTTCCAACCTCACGCAATTCCCATGTATTCCTCTTGTGCTGGAGTTTTGTTTCTATAGTTGCTCAAATACAAAGGTTTGTTTTTTGGTTTGTTTGGGTTTTTGGGGGGGGGGGTTGTTTTTTGGGTTTTTTTGTTTTTGGTTTGTTTGTTTTTTTTTATATAAAAACCCTAAAATTATCAGGTACTCAAGAGAGGACAAGGTCTGAGTTTGTCATGGATATGTATCCCTGGGACTCACCTCAACAGCACTCAAGAAGAAAGGAATTGAGGTACATATAACAGAGTTCCCAAATCACACACACTTCCTCCAGTGAAACCAAAGTCCCACAAAAAATTCAGTTCTGTATAAAAGTGTACGTGTGCATGCGCACCTGCCATATGCTCTGAAAAGTTCAGCTGTAGCTCCAGCTTTGCAGGTTCTCTGAGTAATTTGCAGGGATGCATGTACATGACATACTCAGACTTTGTCCTCTCAGAGTACCTGACAATTTATGGTTTTTTTAAACGTTATTTACAGCAACTAGGGATTGAGACTCAGGAGAAAATGTGTGTTGAGGGGTGACTGGATCTCTACTGACTTCATCCCTACACCAGGAGCAGTCTGATGGCTCAAGAGCACTGGGAAAGTTCCACCATAGGTGCAGAAGTCAGGGGAGGCTTGCTGGAGATGGAGCCTAAAGGAAAGGGGGCATGGGGCTCCATTCTCTCTTCAGTTTCTCCTGAGTCTCCATCCCTAGTTGCTGCAGGGAGAAGCATAGTCGGAAGAACCCTCTGAGGTTCCACTTATGTTGCTGGGATGCCAATGTATGGAGACCTCCTTTACTTGACCTCCAGCATAATCCATTTTCATATTTTGTGCGTGTCAATTCATGCAATTAAGTAACTACGTTCCAAGTTGAAAAAAGGAGTGGAAAGCAGAAGAGTCTGTTTTCGTCTTCCAAACTATGACTAAAAGTGTGGTGTGAGAATGATCTCTACTAGTTTAAAAACTGAGAGGGCCATGCTTATCAAAGCAAACAAACAGAAAAACGGTCAGTTCAATTCATTAACTGTAGATAATACTTTTTTGCTTAATAATCAGAAAATATTGTGATAAAAAGCTTACTTTTTATTATGTATCTCTTACATTCAA